TTGAAGATGAGGAAACAGATTCAATAATATTCATGGTAACGAAGTGACAAAATTAAATTTCAAATTCATATCTAATTCTGGAATCCATGCTTTTCTCAGGATATCTATCTTCTATTTCATTAGAGTCAAGAATGACGTTTTTGGCCACAGAGCTAAATAAAATTAAGCAACTTAGACTGATCTCAGTCCTTAGTCCTATGGGTTAGGGATCCTGAGATAACTTTCTGTTTTCTGCTAGAAGACAATCAGCTCAATGAACAGTTACTTAATGCATTTAACTTAGGGAGGAGGAAAATATAAAACCTCAGAAGTCTATGTAGGAGGTTCTCCATGAAAAAATGAGCAGGCCATATAGACAAACTGAATTAATCTTCTCTATCTCCTAGACTTCGTTATTTGGTTGGTTTTGGTTTCGTTTGTTTTCGTTTTTTGCCTTGGACATGCTCTCTTCATGCCCTGATTCTTTAGATTTAGACATAGTGTATTAGTCAGCTAGCGAAAAGTGATAGTCTCTCAGTCATGACCAGCTCTTTGTGACCCCGTAAACTGTAGTCAGCCAAACTCCTATGTCCATGGAATTCTCCAGACAAGAATACTGGAGTGGGTTGGAGTGAGTAGCCATTCCCTTCTCCAGGGGATCTTCTTGACTCAGGGATCAAATGCAGTTCTCCTGCATTGCAGGCAGATTCTTTACTGTCTGAGTCACCAGGGAAACCCTATTAAGATGGGATTAATGAGTGGAAGAACTGATGCAATCTTTACTAAAAGTGTGAACAAAAGATAGATGCTCTCTCCAAGGAGATTAATTCACCAATGACAGCCCCTATGGAATCACTGGTACACTGGGTGCAAACTGGTTTTATCTGCCTTTAAATCAAATTTGGAACCAATACAGATTCTTCGCTGCCTCCAGAATCACATTCACCCTACTTGCATATTGAGACCCTTAGTGACTTTTACTGAAGCCTGACCTTATCGTATTTGCTCATCAGTGTTGTTGGAATCCAACCCTTTTGCAGCCTTTCTCTTGACTAAACTTCTGTAGCTAAAGACATCTCCTAAATACAAATGCAAATAAGAAGAGGTAAGTTCTAGTGGTGTCTCTTTCTATTCACACCATCCTAGATGATGTTGGGTTTTGTTCAGTTTTGTTCTGAGATAGAAAATGAAGGTTCTGAATTTTGGACAAGATCTGACAGGATAAGATACCTCTACGAGCTAAATGATTTCTCATTATGCCAGACCAGTGGTTGTCATTTGTTCAAAATTATGTTAATCCCAGAATTATGTCCCCCCAAAATCCAATTATCTAGGAGATGGGGAGGAATCAGAAGGCAGGTCAAGCCACTAAAAATCAATTCTCTGAAGACCAATACTGTCATTTTTGTTAGACCCCAATGTGAAGATCAGAAAGAATTTCTCAGTAATAAAATTTTTATCTTTTTGCTTTAAAATGAATGAATGAAGGCCAGTACTCTGAAGATAAATTTGAGGATCAAAAAATATAAACAATAACCAATGGTTAAAAAAAAATTGAGGATTTGCAAAGTGGAGTGGGGGCAATGGGAACTTGGTTTTCAGCCATTTTATACTCAAATGTATGAATTTCCTGGCAAATGTAGTCTATTATCTTTTCTGGAGACATACTCCATTGCCTCTGCTTCTGCCTCTTTCTATCTGTGTCCCTGTCCTTGGTGGTTAAACAACCACAACAAACCATCCTAGTCATGAATTCAGGTGTGATATTTTATAAATGGGTAGTTGGTCAAGTTGAACTAGAGGTGTCTGGGTGAAGCAGGAATCCATCCTCTGGTGAATGGATCCTCAGGGTCAATTATTATAGGTCAAGTTTTAAATTTATGTTTTTTTCTGAGCTCTTTTCTTGGTTAAATCATGTATTCCTGTCAATTCCCATATACATGCTTCTTTCTGTTAACTGAATTTTCATTCTCTTGGCACCTCGGATCGAAACTTCAAACATTCTTTCAGCTCTTTCCTCTCTCCGACATTCTTCCTTTGCTCTTCATTCCCACTGCCACTATCAGAGCTAACGTTCTCAGCCTCTCTCCCATAGACTCTTGTAGTAACCTCCCAGCTGAGCTCCCAACTTTCCGTCTCTTTTTGAATTCCTCGTTATTCAGTCATAATAAATGTTTTAAAGTGCTGCTCTAATCATTTCACAGCTCTTCTTTTTTGAGAATTTTGAGAATGAATTTGATTAGATTCCTTAGCCTATATTCAAGATTTTCCATATCCTGGACCCAAGCTGTTTTTATAACTTGGTTTTCCTCCACCTCGCATTGTGCACCCTGTGCCGCAGTAACTGATGGTGTGTGCTTTCCATGCATTCAAATAATGCATATCCCTCCAGTGCCTTCTCCATCGTTGGTTAATATTCAGATCCCTTCCTTTCCTTCATACTCAATTTTCTTTTATATTAAAGACATATATGTTTAAAGTTCAGAAAATAAAATAATATATAGGCTTACAATGAAAAATAGCAGTTCCCTTCCTCATCATTTCTCACTCTCAATTCCTGTTCTCCTGAGGTAACACATTTTTAATAACTTAGTGTTTTCTTCTGTTTACCCATATTCCTTAATAACATGCTTTTATTCTATCTGAATTTTTAGTTTTAAATATGATTTATTACTTACTACAAAAAATGAGAACTTTTAACCCTTACATAACAAAAAGAGAGCAAAAATGAGAATGAGAGAGAGATCTATGCTTCACTTTCCAGATGCTCTTAAATCTTTTTGGTTTGATCATCGTGGAGTGTATACACTTTCACAACCTTACAAACATTAGCCACAGTGGAATCATGTGATGAACTATTGTTACCTAAAAAAGAAATCTCTCAGTTCTCATGGATGATCAAGTTGTACAATTCCTGTTGTTTTTGTTTGTCTTTGGAGACATTACAAGGAATCTTGTCCTCATCACCAGTCTGTTCTCATCAAGTTAATGCAAATATTACATAACCCACACATGTTTTCAGGGTCCTTCTACTATATGCTAAGGGAATTCTGACAAGTCAGCATCATTTAGGTGGGACCCTTTAAACCCAGGTTTTAGTGTTAACTAAAACAACAGGAAAAAAAATTAAAATCACACCCATGGCTCCAGTCAGTAAAGCCTCTCTGGTAAAGGTAACAATGATGACAAATTCATAACTAATTTTTTTGGTCTAACAATCTCAGAATTCATTCTTGTATACTGTCTCCAAATTTCTGCCCCAAATTAGCAAGGACTTGTAGTGTTTCTTGCCCTGGCAGAGCCTGCAGCATTCTTAACTCTGTTTACTTGGTGGAGAGGGCCATGAGGAGAATTGTTCCTTTTACTCTGCATCCCACTCAGTAAGGAAGTATTAGAATTTTTAAGATTTTATCTTAAAACAGTTTTATATCACAGCAGAACTGAGCAAGAGTACAGAGATTTCACATATAACCCTTACTCCCCACACATGCATAACCTCCTCCTTTATCAACATCTCTCATCAGGGTGGTACAATTGTTACAACTGATGAACCTACCCAGGAAATAATAATCACCCCAAGTCCATAATTACGTTATGGTTCCCTCTGGTATTGTACATTCTGTGGGTTTGGAAAAATGTATAATGACACGCCTATACCATTATATCATACTGAGTAGTTTCATTGCCTAAAAATCTTCTGTGTTGTACCTAGTCATCCCTCCCTTCCCCCTAAACACTGGCCAGCACTGATCTTTTTACCATCTTCATAGGTTTGCATTTTCCAAACATACTGTTTGATAGTTGGAATCATACAGTATATTGTGTTGCCTTTTCAGATGGCTTCTTTCAGTTAGTAATTAGCATTCGAAGTTCTATGTCCTTTTGTGGCTTGACAGCTTGTGTCTTTTTAGCACTGAATTGTCTGGATGTACCACAGGTAATTTACCCGTTCACCTTCTGAAGGACATCTTGGTTGCTTCCAAATTTTGGCAATTATGAGTAGAGCTGTTACAAATATCTTTGTTCAGGCTTTTGTGTGGATATGAGTTTTCAGCTCACTTGGGTAAATACCCAGGAGTATGATTGCTGGATCACATGATTAAGAGTATATTTAGTTTTGTAAGAAACTGCCAGACTGTCTTCCAAAGTGGCCATACCATTTTGTATTCCCACCAGTGAATGAGAGTTCCTATTCTGCCACATCCACACCAGCATTTGGTGTCACTGTTCTGGATTTCATTCACTCTAATAGGTGTGTAGTGGAATCTGATTGTTGTTCTAATCTGCATTTCCCTGATGACATATGTCTTAGTCCATTTGGGTTGCTGTAACAAAATGTCAGAGACCAGGAGACCTATTTACATTTATCTCACAGTTCTAGAAACTGGGAAATCCAAGATCATAGCACTGGCACTTTCAGTGTCTGATTAGAGCTCACTTTTTTGTTAATAGGTAGCACCCTATAGCTGTAACTTCATCTGGTGGAAAGAACAGGAATCACTGTGGGTTCTCTTTTATAAGAGCACTAACCCCTTACACGAAGGCTCTGCCTTCATGATCTAAGTACCTACCCAAGCACCCACCTCTTAAACAAGTGATGAATGTCCACTAACCTATTACATAGGGTATTGATATGGGGGAGGGAAATGAAGCCACTTTCTCTACTGAGAGGATTTTTTTCAAATGTGACTTTTAATATTAATTTTAACTATTATATTCCTTAATGTTTCTATTGAGGATATACCCCATTGCTCCCCCTTAAAGGTATAATTTTCCCCCTGGTATCATCAAAACTTCTGCCAGCTCAGGTTTTTTTTTTTTTTAAGATATGTTCTTATTCATTCATTCATTTATGCATGCTATGCCAGGCCTTAGTTGTGGTACCCCCTGCCACAACTCAGGTCCCTTGCATTGGAATATCTGACTCTTAGCCACTGGATCACCAGGGAAGAACCAAATCAAGGTTTTTAAAGTCATCCTTCTTTTTCTTGATTTTAGCAGGTGTCTCCCATCAAAATTCAATGAAGCACATGAATGAAAGTTTTCCAGAGGATTTCATTCTCATGGGCTTTACCAAATATCCATGGTTGGATGTTCCTCTCTTCTTTGCCCTCCTAACCTCCTACATGTTCACACTTTTGGGAAACATTGCTATTATTCTGGTTTCTCAACTAGATTCCCAACTCCAAAGTCCTATGTATTTCTTCCTCACAAGCCTCTCCTTTCTGGACCTCTGTTTCACCACCACGACTGTGCCCCAAATGCTCTTCAACTTGGGCGGACCCAACAAGAACATCACTTATATAGGCTGCATGACCCAGGCCTATGTATTTCACTGGCTAGGCTGTACTGAATGTGTCTTGCTTGGCACCATGGCCTTAGACCGCTATGTGGCTGTGTGTAAGCCTCTGAGATACCCTGTAATCATGAACCACAAACTGTGCTGGCAGCTCTCCAGCACTGCTTGGCTCATTGGTCTGGCCAATTCACTACTGCAGTCCACACTGACAGTCCAGCTGCCCCTGTGTGGGAACCAAGAACTGGACCACTTCTTTTGTGAACTGCCTGGTCTAATTAAGATGGCTTGTGTGGACACCACAGTCAACGAGCTTACTTTAGCAGTGGTGGCCACCTTCCTGATAATGGGTCCCCTCTCTATGATTCTTGTCTCTTACAGTTATATTGCACAAGCTGTATTTCGAATCCCTTCTGCTGATGGGAGACTTAAGGCCTTCAACACTTGTTCTTCGCACTTACTAGTGGTGTCTTTGTTTTATGGCCCTGGCATCTACATCTATATGCAGCCTTCAGGGGACAGCCCTCAAGACCTTATCAAAGTTCTGACGCTGTTTTACTGTGTTATTACTCCCATGGCCAACCCATTCATCTACACCTTGAGGAACAAGGATGTTAAAGGAGCTTTGAGGAGACTTCTGACGCGGGCCATTTTGTCCAAGAGAATATGATGCTTTATTCTGAATAGGAAAGCTCAACAATAACATGAAATATATCCTCCTGTAAATAGATGTTCCATCAAAATCATGCTCAAAAGTCAAGTCAAGAAAACCATTGTGTGTTCTGTTTACCACTCCTGATACCAAACACGTTGGGTTTTTTTCCTCACAATAACTGGTTCTCTGAAACCAACTGGATGTCCTACAGTTCAATTCTTTTTTTTGGTTGTGCTGGGTCTTCCTTGCTTAGTGCAGGCTTTCTCTAGCTGCGGCAAGTGGGGGCTACTCTTTCTGGCTGCAGTGAGAGGTCTCCTCATTGCAGCAGCTTCTCTTGTGGAGCACAGGATCCAGGGTGCATNGGCTACTCTTTCTGGCTGCAGTGAGAGGTCTCCTCATTGCAGCAGCTTCTCTTGTTGTGGAGCACAGGATCCAGGGTGCATAGGCTTCAGTATGGGCTCCAGAGCACAGGCTCATTAGTTTTGATGCATGGACTCAGTTTCCCTGGACACGTCGGGTCCTCCCAGGCTAGTGATGGAACCAGTGTCCCTTTCATTGCACGGTGGACTCTTAAACCACTGAACCACCAGGAAAGTTCCCTCAATTTAATTCTGACACTACCCAGAGTTAGCATAGGCCCCACAGATTAAGGGCTCAATTCCACAAAATTTTATTATTGGAGAGTAGGTTCTCATCTTGTTGCAGTTAAGAATTCAGAGTTCTTGAGACAGGGAAGCTAAGACAGCAAAGTGAGAATTTATTAAGCAATAGTACACTCTCAGGAGGGAAAGTGGGCAGGATCAGGTGAGCAGCTGCTCTGAGTTCCTTCAGCAAGCTGGTTATATGGAATGTGAAAATGACTGCACAGACAATATTCATTGAAGAGGCAGGGGTTTCTGGTCAAATCTCTTGATTTTCATCCCAGCTCTACCTTCCCCACAGGAAGAGGGATTTTCACCCCTATTTGGTCTTGAGCAGAAGTGTCATGGTGTCAGTACATGATGGGTACTTCTTTTCTGCAAGGCTAACTTTATTGTAATGAGGGCATAATGAGCAAAAGGTTACATTCAGAGGCCAGAAATTCCCATCTATTGCAGCCTTTCTTTACCTCTAGGACTCCTGTTGCCACAAGATGGACCGTTTCCAGTCACCTCACTCTTGCTCCCACCCGCTTTCTCAGCTTACATCTAGTTAACTACCTGCTCTCATACCTCCACTTCAGAAGCCAATAACAAATTCAGGCCACCTGTACTTCTGACCAGTCAACTATAAAGTCAAGGGCTTCTACAACTCCCTTCTAAGATTTGATAATTTGCTAGAACAGCTCACAAAATTCAAGGAAACATTTTACATACTTTTATCAACTTATCTTGGGGCTGGAATAGCTCAGTTGAGAGAGTGTTGGATTGAAGGTCTAAAGGTCCGTGGTTCAATCTTGGGTTTTGGCAGAAAAAGCATCTTTTTTGGGCTTCCCAAGCAGCGCTAGTGGTAAAGAACCTGCCTGCCAGTGCAGGAGACCTAAGAGACATGGGTTCGATCCCTTGGAGGAGGACACAGCAACCCACTCCAGTATTCTTGCTTGGAGAATTCCATGGACAGAGGAGCCTGGAGGGCTATAGTCAGATCTCAAAGAGTCAGATGTGACTTAGCATGCATGCACCAATTTATTATAAAAAATATAACTCAGGAATAGCCAAATTCAAGATATGCATAGGACAAGATATGACAGGGAGAAGCGGTGGGCAGAGCATCCATTCACTTTCAGGGCATGCCTCCCCTGCATCTCAGTGTGGTCACCAGTTAGGAAGCTCTCCAAACTTCATTGCTCAGTTAATCTTTATTCCAGGTGCCAATGGACACAGACAAAAAATTCGAGTTCTGTTATCTAATAAAAAGGAGCTACTTACTTAGTGGGCAATTAACAGCCTGCCTCAGTCCTACATAAAGTCATGGCATTTTGATTTCTAAAGTGCAGGTACTTACTCTTAATGAATGTGTGCTAAAAGATCAGTGAACAGATGGATGGATGAATGATAACAGGTGCAAGGAACAAAATGAGAAGGCGGAGATCAGTGGTCTAGTGGTTACTAAGCGGGGAGGGATAGAGTAAGGAGAAGGAAGAGAGGAAACCGGGGAATGAGAACTGATGAAACGCCTGAGTTGGAGTGTCCTTAAACTCACTAAACTTCAGTAATGACAATATTTTTCAGTAATAATAATAATATTTAAAAGCCTTGAGGAAAAATAATTTAAATCCATTTCTCAGTCTCTTCATCTGTAAAAATAGTTTGATTTAAAAAAAATAAAAGCTATTGAAATATAGTATATATATTTTAAAAGTACACGAATCTTAGGTGTACAGCTAAATGAAATTCCCGAAGTGAAATCACCCACACAACTACCACCAACATCAAAAAATAGAACATTACCAGTTCCTTAGAAGACCCCAGTTGTGCTCCCTCTCTAACTATTCCTTTCTTACTCCCTCTTGTGGCTTCTAACACAGAGATTTGTTTTCCCTATTTTAAACTTTATATAAATGGAATCATGAAATATGCATTTTTTGTGTCTGGTTTCTTTCACTTATCATTACATTTTTGAAATTTATCACCGTGGCTTGTAACTGTAGTTCATTCACTTTCATCATTCATAGTATTCCATTTTATGAATAAACTTCCATTTTTGTACTCATCTTGCTGTTAATGGACTTTTGGCTTGCTTCTGGTTTAGAACTATAAAAATGCGGCTAAAGTGTCTTCAGATGTAAATATGTGTACATTGCTGGCAGCAATATAACTAAAAGTGAAACTCCTGCATCATAGAATATGCACACGTTCAACTTCAATAGATACACCAAAGAATTTCCCAAAAATGGTGTTTCCAATTTACACTCTTATCAACAGTGTATGAAAATTTCCATTTCTCCATAATCCTCGCCAACATTTGGCACCATGAGTTCATTTTTAACAGGGATTTTAGCATTTAGTTTGTAGTTCTTTCAGTTCAGTTACTCAGTCGTGTCTGACTCTTTGNGTGGTGTCATCTGCATATATGAGGTTATTGATATTTCTCCTGGCAAGATTGATTCCAGCTTGTGCTTCTTCCAGCCCAGCGTTTCTCATGATGTACTCTGCATATAAGTTAAATAAGCAGGGTGACAATATACAGCCTTGACGTACTCCTTTTCCTATTTGGAGCCAGTCTGTTGTTCCACGTCCAGTTCTAACTGTTGCTTCCTGACCTGCATACAGTACCTAATGACCTATCAGATTGGCGATATTCAAAAGCCTGAAAACATACAATTAGTGCCTGCTTTCATGCAACCTCCCTATCTCACATTGCTGTTGAAAGTGCAAAATGATACAATCCTTACAAAGACACCTCCTTTCTCTCTTTCATTGTTTATTGCAACATTATTTGTTAAAGTGAAATACTGGAAAGATTCCAAATACCCATCCCTAAAAGATTGGTTAAAAAAACAATGGTGTGTGTTCTTCCCTGGTGACTTCCTTGGTGGCTCAAATGGTAAAGCGTCTGCCTACAATGTGGGAGACCCAGGTTCAGTCCCTGGGTTGGGAATATCTCCTGGAGAAGGAAATGGCAACCCACTCCAGCATTCTTGCCTGGAAAATCCCATGAATGAGGAGCCTGTAGGCCACAGTCCATCGCAGAGAGTCAGACACGACTGAGTGACTTCACTTTCACTTTTCACTTTTCATTCCTAAAAGATTGGTTAAAAAAACAATGTTGTGTGTGCTTAGTCATTCAGTCATGTCTGACTCTTTGTGACCTCACAGACTGTAGCCCACCAGGCTCCTTTTGTCCATGAGATTTTTCCCAGTCAAGAATACTGGAGTGGGTTGCCATTTCCTTCTCCAATGTAATGAAGTACTGTGTAACCGTAAAAGAAAAAGACTGTTTCCACCAACAGATTTGGGATAATTTCCAGCTTATTCTTGGAGAAGGAAATGGCAACCCATTCCAGTAGTCTTGCTGGGAAAATCTCATGCACAGAAGAGCCTGGCAGGCTACGGTTCATGGGGTTGCAAAGAATTGGACACGACTGAAGCAACTGAGCATGCACATGCACCAGTTTATTAAAGTAACATGCAAAAGAGTATATATAACATTATTTATAGATATAAAGGGGTAAAAGTTTGTTTTTGTACAAGAAAGAAAGGGAAGGGATGGGAGAAGGAAGTAGGAAGAAGGAAAGGATAAAACTAATAAAAAATGGGGCAAGAGTATATATGCGATAAAAAAGTTAGGGATGGAAACAAAACTCTGAATGTATATTTTTATGTAATTTCAATTTTGAACTGTTTTGCATATTCTGAAAGGAGAAGGAAGAAAGGAAAGCAAATCTTGAAACTGAATAAAACAGAAACAAATGACTAACTGTATATCAAGTTTATAACATAACTACACAGAGAAAATAATTCAAATAAGTTATGTATATGTACTCTATCTCCCTTAATGGGATACAATTCAAGAATAAAGCAAGCAAAGAAATTTTGAACTGTACATAGTAGGTGTGTTATTGCTAATGATGTTGATATTTTAATTTAGAAAATTTAAAATATATATGTTGTAAGAGCAAATTGAGTGACTATATGGACATTGTTGGGAACAGGGTTTTTTCCTGTGGAAGAAGGGAAGATCAAATGTGCAATGGTAAAAATGAAAAAGAAATCTGGGAAGTTGCATTTGAATTGAAAATATTTTATAAAATCCTTATCATATGTATGTTTTATTCCAGCCCTAAGGTCTAATGATAACTTTCCAGGTGGCAGCAGTGGTAAAGAATCCACCTGCCAATGCAGGAGATGTAAGAGACACGGGTTAGATCCCTAGGTCAGGAAGATCCCCTGGAGGAGGGCCGGGCAACCCACTCCAGTATTTTTGCCTGGAGAATCCCCATGGACAGAGGAGCCTGGCGGGCTATAGTCCATAGGGTCGCAAAAGAGTCGGACACCAGTGACGCGACTTAGCACGCACGCATGTGTTACTCAAAAAAAAAAGTCTAATGACAGGGCCTAAAAACAACGGTCTATCCCAGTAGCAATAAGCTTGTTATTCAAAATTCAGATCTTAGTTTCTGTATATCATTCTACATTCAAAGGAACCACAGCTTCATATAGCAATGGCGGATTCCAGGTCTAAGGCAGGAAAATTATAAAATGAGCCTGGAATAACTTGTGCTAGAAAATAAGGTGCACACAAAGCTTTCTTTGCAGGAAATGGTAATTGATAAATGTAGGCAGAATGTGCCTTAGGTTTCTTGTTTGCTAAACGGATATAATTATGCCGAATCCACAGGACTGGTATGCAGAATAAGTGAGCTCGTATGTGTAAATGAGACAGTGTACAGAAAACCCTGTGTTGGACAGTTATTGTATTTCCCCACCCCCAGCCCCCTACGCCTAGCAGGGGATTCAGAGCGGCGACCACAGAGGTGTGAAAACCTCCGGGCTTACTAGAAGGAACACACCCTGAGAGCCGCGGTGTGACGCACTTCCGGCCTTTGTAGTTTATCATTATCCAGGCTGCGGTTGTCAAGGATTCAGAGGTGGTGCCACGGCTGCCCGGTGAGCTTCGGAGTCGGGCTACCGCAGGGCCTTTGAAAAGTCTGGACTGTGCGCTGTGACTCTGGACTGGGTGTGGGGAGGAGGCAGCGGGTCTTCTTGGCCAGGGCTTGGCCGGAAAGGTGAGGGGCAGAGGAGGCTGCCCCGGAACCTGGAAGGGCCTTGTTAGTTGAAAGTCAGCGTCCGTGCCCCAACCCCCATCCCCTCGTCTGTTCCTGAGCCCTTCACCGGTGTCCTTCGGAACTCTCCTTTCCCGCATCCTAGAATAAGATTTAGGTTCCGATAGCCAGAATGGTTTGTATTTTCCCACGGCTGCCATTCTCTACTGGGGGCTTATTTTAAACAACGAGCATGATAGTTTTATAACATCGCCACAGCCTCTTTTAGTCTGATTCACTCAAGAATGTATAGGCTCTCGCCAACTGTTGATTTAAAAAAAACAAACACGAATATTTAAATGGAACTTACGTGTCCGCCAGCACTGTTCAAAGCACTTTCCCGATATTATGTTAGTTCTCATAACTTTATGAGGTAGACACTAGTAGTATGTTACTTCTCCCTCCCCCCACCTTTTTTTTTTTTAAGGTCCGGGAAAAAAATGAAGTTAAGTAACTTGTCCCGGGTCCTACAGCTGGTAATGGGGTGTAGTCAGGATTTAGATCCAAGGAGTCTGACTTCAGAGTCCATTTTCTTAAACCCTTTGCCGTGCTGACTCAGCCCTTTTTTTTTTTTTTCTGTATTAGCTTTATTGTAAGGGAAGTGAGTTCCCTTATTTGAATATGGTCCTACCCCTTTTGCGCCTTAGTAATCCTGAACTTCTAGTTAGAATTTAAGTTTAGAGAGAGAAATATACTTGAGGACGTGTACCGTCTGCAAACCTGATGAAACAGCCATTTCATTTGTGTGCGTACACCTGTTTTCCCACCCACTCGCTGGTGTTGTGCTTTGATCAGTAGAAAAGATGACAGAGAAGAGGGAAATTGATCTTAGTGAAACTGAGTCGAGATTTGAAACACCATGTACCAGAATAGCACCAGGTGGCGCTAATGACCCTGACTGCCAATGCAGGTGACATTAGAGACGCGGGTTGGATCCCTGGGTTGAAAAGATGACCTGGAGGAGGGCATGGCAACCCACTCCAGCAGTCTTTCCTGGAGAACCCCATGGAGGCACCTGGCAGGCTGCAGTCCATAGGGTGGCAACGAGTCATACACACTGAAGCGACTTAGCACCCACACATATCAGAAATGGTTTTCTATTGGCAGAGCTCAAAGCTTCAGTTGCATTGTCTGTGAACAAAAAAAACTGACTTGAAACCAAGATGAGTAGGTAGCAAATAGGAAAAATATTTTTTTCAGGGGCCTGAAAGGTTGATTAAACAAGTGGTTGTTTATTCCTTTGAACCCATTCTTGGTTAATTGAGTAATTTGTATCCCAAAACTTTCTCACCCTAGATCAAGCTCAGCAGACCTGGTTCATGCTACCATCATCTCGCCCCTAGATTATTACTTTAGCTTCTCTTCCTGCTTCTGCTTTTCCCCATAGTCTTTTGTAGCAGCAGCCAGTTATGTTTTTATATTAAAACTGAGTAAAATTTTATCACCCATCTTGCTTGAAACTTCCAGTAGCTTTCCTTGTCTCTAAGAGTACAAGGCAGAACCCTTATAATAGCTTTTCATGATCTGTTCCTAACCTGACGTCTTCTCCTATTCCTGTCTTGTTTGCCTTCTCTATTCTAGCCACATTGGTTAACTCACTGTTAACCAATTTTCATGTATGAAAAATGCATACATGTTCATGCCTCCAAGAACTCACTGTTCTGGTGCATGCAACAGTCTTTCTCCAGATAGTCCCATGACTTGCTCCTCACTTCCTTCAGGTCTCTGCTCAAATAATAGTTTATCAACAAGGCCTTCCTTGACTAACCCACAAAAATAGAAACCTTTCTTCCTTCTTACTATATCCTTTACATTTATTGTTCTGCATAGGATTTATCACTACTTGACATACATTTAATTATCGCCTGACCCCTCTGACCCTCTTTCGTCCTCCTGTCCCCATCTTCCCCCTACATAGAGGAGAGACAGTGGTATAGTGATTGAGAATATGAATTCTAAAGGTAGGTTTACTTGATTTCAATTGCAGCCTTACCACTAACTACTTGTGACACTTTGGGTGAATGACAAAGACTCTTTATGCCTCAGTTTTCTCATCTGCAATATGGGGTTAATAATAGTACCTTACTTATGGTTGCTTTGTGGATTAATTGAGTTAATATATGTAAAGCATCTAAAATGGTGCCTGGTACATTAAAAGCACTGTAATTCCTTGAGGTGAAAACTATTTTTGTTTGTAGCCCAGAAGAGTACCTGGAATATGGTAGGCTCTGAGTAAATATTTGCTATGTGAATGAATTGGTGTATGAAAAGTTCAACAGAAAAAGATAATGTGGTGGTCAGAGTGGTGGTGAGTTGGGGGAAAACATGAACTCAGGGATCCTATCTTTTGAGTAGAAACTGTCTCCACTCTTCCTGAGGTGGTCTATAGACGTCAAGCAAGCCAAAGATGTTAGAAATTTGTGAAGGGATAATGTTCACAGGTTACCCAGAAGGATGCTGTCTCATACCAGTGTGCTTTCTTTTTTCTTTGATGACTATAATCAATAATGGCAATATGAATTTAACTTTTCTTTTAGTTGTAGTATGATCAATGTTCACTATCAACTTAAATAATCTATCCTTAGTTTTTTAAATTTTGTGATGCCTGCCAATACTTATGAATGATGTAGGTTTATTTCTATAGTAAATTACAGTAATTTTACTTAAAATTAGAACAAAAATGTTTAAAAAACTATAGGTCATGATCCCTATGTGGGTCATGTAATCTATATAGTGGGCTATGACCAGGGTTTTTTGTTTTTTCATTTTACAAAATAGGATTTTAAAAATAAGAGTATATATCACATAAGGTAAGTATACATGGTATTTTGTTAAAAGAAACAATTATTTCCATTTTTGTGTTTGTGTATATCACACATGCACAAGCATATACTTGTATGCACATATATATGTGTTCTGGGTCACGATATAAAATGTTTCTTCCTAAAGGTCCTGGTCAAAAAAGTTTGAGAGCCTGTGCCTAAAAATGGTGCTTGGAAATCACTAGGTCACATAATTAATTATTTTTCTTTCAGAAAACTGCCTTACTTAATTACTGTCCTGATTAAGATTGTTCATAAGGTTAAGTGGTCATAGACATTTGTCTCTGTTTTAAAAAAATATTTATATTTATTTTCCTGTGCCGGGTCTTAGTTTCAGCACACATGATCTTTGACCTTTGTTGCAGCATGCAGGATCTTTAGATGTGTCATGTGGGATCTAGTTTTCCAACCAGGAATCAAACCCAGGCCCCATGCATTGGGAGTGTGGAGTCGTAGTCACTGGATCACCACTGGAAATTCCACCACTGGAAATTCTGACATTTGTCTTTTTATTAGCACTTATTTTACATACAATTGCCCACTCTCCATCCTTGAGGAACTTCAAAGAGAAACAGTTTCCAAGAAATTAGAAGGCAAGAAAGAGCTAAAATTCTGTATTTTAAAAATATTAAAACTAATATTTCCTTCATTTTACTATCTATGAGCCAAGACCACTCCAGTTGACTACTTTCTGATTCTTTTGCCATTGTGTTTGGATCACTAGGATATTCATTTTATCTTTCAATAAAATTTATAAGAAAAAATATTTGAAAATTTTATAAGAAAAATAGTAGTAGTGGTAATTACCTTTTTTAAAAAGACTATTTATTTGTGGCTGCTCTGGGTCTTCACTGCTGCATGCAGGCTTTCTCTAGCAGTGAGTGAGGGGGCTGGTCTGTAGCTGTGGTGCTCAAGCTTCTCGGTTCTATAGTTTCTCTTTTTTGCAGAGAAATGGGCTTCAGTAGTTGTGGCTCTTGGGCTCCATAGTTGTTGCTCGTGGGCTCTAGAGCACAGGCTGAGTAGTTGTGGCCCACGGGCTTAGTTGCTGCACAGAATGTGGGATCTTTCTGGACCCGGGATTGAAACTATGTCCCCTGCACTGGCAGGCAAATTCTTTGCCACTGAACCACCAGAGAAGCCCCACAGTCATGGTAATTTATAATGCTTTAGAGTTTACCAAACTGCCTGCTTCTTTGTGCTCTTTATCTGTTCTCTTATTTAATTTCTGTATCAACCTAGAAAGGTAGACAAGGTTGGCTTTAGGATTCCTATGTTACAGATTAAGTAGACTAAAGCGCAAAAGATGAAGCCCAAGACTGTGGAGGGGGTACCTGGGGATCAGTCTCAGTTCCAGGTTTCCCTGCTCCAAGCAGACATCTCTTTCCTCCAGACCTAACCTGCTTCAAGGGATTCAGCTTCTTTTCCCCAGGCACGTTTTGTTGTTGTTGTGCCTCATTCTATTTATTTATCTTCTTTACTTTCCCTCCCTACTCCTTTTTCTTTCCTTTTCCTTGATTCTTAGTGTCTTCTGTGACATGTTGGAGCCAAAGTGTTTGTTTACCTCCATTCAACTAAAAACTACCTGAGTCTAGTATCTTGCCATTCAAATGGAAACCCAGTATATTCAAACTGATTTATTTGAGCTGATTCATTCAGGATGATCAAACAGTCCCTTCAATAAAACTCAGGGAGGGGGCGTTGTTTTGGTTTTGTTTTCCTTCCTATATTACCTTCACCAGTATTTGCATAATCATTATTTATTAATCATGCATTCATGTTCTTCATTAGAGTTACTGGTTTGGGTATAAATACTTCCAGTGCCTACCAGCAAAAAGGATTTTCTTCATTTTTTCCCCTGCAAATTATTTTTTAGATTTTGGGATTTCCAGAAGAAAAAAATCAAGAGGGAATTATCAAGATTGGATTCTTTTTCTGAATAGCCACAGCCTTGGCCCTTCAGACTCCAGAGATGCACAAGGGACTTCTAGCAGTGAAAGTAAAAGAGGAAAAGGGGAACCACGTAAGTATGGTCCAAGAATCTGGCCTGTCAAGAGATAACCTTCATACCAGAGAGATCTTTCGTAGACGCTTCAGACAGTTCTGCTACCAGGAGACACCGGGGCCCCGAGAGGCTCTTCAAAGACTCCAGGAGCTCTGCCATCAGTGGCTGAGACCAGAGATGCACACCAAAGAGCAGATCCTAGAGCTGCTGGTGCTGGAGCAGTTCCTAACCATCCTGCCCGAGGAGCTCCAGGCCTGGGTGAGAGAGCACCGCCCAGTGAGTGGAGAAGAGGCGGTAATTGTGCTGGAGGATTTGGAGAGAGAGCTGGATGAACCAAGAGAGCAGGTGGGAAGAAGGGAGAACAAGGATTTGTGCTTGTATGGTAAAGCATGGGGTTTCCGTGCAGTAAGAGGAAGAGGAGGAAAAGATGGATTTTTTTATACCTGTCTTGATCTGTAATAGACTCTTTAATCTCTCCACCTTTTCTCTTTGCCAGTTTCTTGATCCATCTTTTCCTATCCATTGATCCTGAGAAGGCCTTGCAGTGTCTTCTCTGATATTTGGTTCCCAATTGTCCTTAATTTTTGCCAGGTCCCAGCCCGTGATCATGAACAAAAGGAGCTTGTGAAGGAGAAAGCAGCTCTAGGAACAGCCCAGGAGTCATCAGGCAGCCAGCTCCAAACCTTGGAAGAGCAACCTCAGTGGAACTTGCGAGGGGTGTGCCCAATTCAGGAGATTGGTGAGGATTGGAATTTGCTCAGGAAGCCTAAGTCATTCCCTGAATGGTCATCAATTCAGTGCATTCACTTGGTGTCTGCTCTGGGCCAGGCACTGTGCTGGGTACTGGAGAAACAGTGATGAGCAAGGTAGATGTGGTCCTTGCCCTTCGGGAGTTTACAGTCTGGTGGGAGAGGTAGACAGTAAACAGGCAGTTGTGATACAGGGCGTCTTCTCACTGAAGCCCAGGTATAATTGTTAAGAGTGGGAAAGTAAATAGAAAACATGGTTGCTTGTCCCCTTCCACCCACTCTCCTGACCAGTATTTTTCTTTCTTTGGAAACACAACATTCATGTAATCCATTTATTATTTCAGGCAGTGAGACTGGAACTTGGAATGTGGAGCTAGCCCCAAAGAGGGAGCTGTCTAAAGAAAAGAAATCTCTTGTGGAGGGATCTGAAAAACTGAATGGTGATACTATTCCAGTGCCTGAATATGGAGAGACCTGTGACCATGAAGGTAGATTGGAGAGGCAACGGGGAAGCTCTTCAGTGGAAAGACCTTATATCTGTAGTGAATGTGGGAAAAGCTTCACCCAGAATTCCATCCTTATCGAGCACCAGAGAACGCACACGGGCGAGAAACCCTATGAGTGTGATGAGTGTGGGCGGGCCTTCAGCCAGCGGTCAGGCCTGTTCCAGCACCAGAGACTCCACACTGGGGAGAAGCGCTACCAGTGCAGCGTTTGTGGCAAAGCCTTTAGCCAGAACGCTGGGCTTTTTCATCATCTCAGGATCCACACGGGGGAAAAGCCTTACCAGTGCAATCAGTGCAGTAAGAGCTTTAGTCGACGTTCTGTCCTCATTAAGCATCAGAGAATTCACACTGGAGAAAGACCTTACAAATGTAACGAATGTGGCAAGAACTTCATCTACCAATGCAACCTCATCCAGCATCGGAAAGTCCACCCCATGGCTGAATCCAGCTAGCTCCTTGGAACAGGTAGGGCAACATTTCCTGATGCCAGACCACTGGGCAAGGAAGCCAGGGTCCTGGTTCTTACTTTGTCCCTGAGAGGACAATAGTATTAATAATTTAATACTCTAGTAATAGGAAGCTCCAGAGAAGGTCCGTGAAAATGTCCTGATTTTTACACTGAGAGAAGCATAATATCTTAAATACAACTGTCAAAGTCTTTTTGGTCAGTGACATCCATAACTTTGCAACACTGACTATTATTGCATTGATTTCATAATTTCACACATATACATATCTGTCCAAAAAGTTTTCTAGATATGCTTCAGGAAAACTTTATCCTAGTTTTTTAAAACTTATTTTAAGTCTTAAAAATTATATGCTACCTGAATACAAAAAGTCAAAGGTTAATTTAAAGTCAAATTAATTTAAAAATAATTTCAGTAAAATCTGTAATGTAAACTATTAGATTAGTTTCTATTTGCATAAGATAGGAAAATTTGCCTTTTAACCTACAAAAGGGGGCACTTGGATCTTTCCATACACAAAAGGCTTCTCCCTATAGTGGTTTAGTAACTCAGCCTTCAGTTAAAAACCAAGAAATTGATGCAACCATATATTATTACTAGCTTAGTGTCTACTCATAACAAATATTGCTCATGATTTTAAATTTTACAAAGACTAAGATACTTAGCTTAAAAATCTGATATCTCAATTAAGATCTTTGTTGTGAAAATAGGCCTAACTGTATTTTTCCTGTGACTTTTGAGTATTTTGGGGTTTTTCTTTATTTAGCCTTTTGTTAAGGAAAATTTCAGACATATACAAAAGTAGAGAGAAAAGTATGATCAGTCTTCCACGCTGATTGCTTTTTATAGCCTCCATGCTTCTCAGTGCTATTTATTGATTATTACTAAAGTCATACATTAAAAAACTCCTTTCCCTTAACACTGAGTGTTACAAAGCTTTATACTAAGGCCAGGAGACAAAGAAGTGGAAAATCTGTGGTGATAACGATCTGGATTGGAATATCATATATACATGCAGGTAACTTAAGAGTGATAGAACACAATAAGGGACCTCAGAGTCATTTCTGCATGCCCTTATTTAACAGATACGGATACAGAAGCTCTAGAAGTGACTGTGTAACATCACACAGCTAGTTAATGCAGCTGGAACTAGAACCCTCTCTCCCTAGTGCAGTGCTCTTTCTGCTAAGCCATTGGAAGCAATGTATTGCCATAGGGAACTTAGAGCACTTACGAGGTATTACAATTTTGCTTTTTAGCTCAACAAACCTGCCCATTTGTTTCAATAGATGCACAGCCTATTTAATTTACAGCAGAGTTCCAAGAAAGATTCCTCCCACTTATATCTCATTTGAGGCATTTTATTTATTTTTGTAATGAGTGATTATTTTTAACTTTAAATTTTAATTTACTTAGAGGAAGTTTTTAAAAAAGATAATTCATTCTGCACCTGGTTCTGATATCAAAACAACATTAAAAAAGGTCCCTATCTTTCCCCTTGTAGGTAGTCATTTAACTAGTTTCTTATTACTTTTCAGGGTTTCTTTATGTAAATACAAAAAAATATGAATATATAATTTTACTCCCTTGATTACGCAGAATGATAGCATACTATTCACACCCTCTACATCTTGTTGTTTTCATGAAACAGTATAATCTTTAGATATTTCTACCTTATAACAGAAAGCTTCCTTGTTCTGTTTACCAGTTGGTGATATATCATTTGTTGGTGCTCCATAGTTCAGCGTACTCCTACAGATGAAAAATTGCTACTTCAAAATGTTATATATTGTTTTATTCTTTTCCCTAGTTTGGCCCAAGTCAAACTCTTAAAGCTAACAACCTCCACATGAGCTAGAAAACAGGATTTGGATGACAAGAATTGCACATAATGCTTATGTGGAGAAATGAAGTGATAGGTGATGTTTTTTATTTCATGTATTTTGTTCTGTTATATATTCTTAGACCTAACATTTCAAACTGTTAATGTCACTACCTGTGACTAATTGTAGGTATTATCAACACTCTTAGAAGAAAAAAACCTTAAATTTCCCCAAGAGTATGTAGTTTATTGTGTCTTGAGGTTTAAATTATATCAATAGAAATACATAGGGATTTTAGGATGAAGTTAAAGAAAATATAGTAGGATACGTTTGCAATAAAATCAACTTCTCAAGTTAAATATATACTCCATATAGTGATATAATAGGCTTCCCAGGTGGCTCAGTGGTAAAGAATCCACAGAGCTATTGCAGGAGCCACAGGAAATGTGGCTTCCATCCCTGGGTAAGGAAGTGGCAACCCACTCCAGTATTCTTGCTTTGATAATCCCATGGACACAGGAGCTACAGTCCATGGGATTGCAAAGAGTTGGACACAACTAAGCAATTGAGCACATAGTGATATAGCATATATACTACTATAATCTGAGTTCATAAGTATTTTAAATGCTTCTCCAATATGCTGAAGCAGCATGTTTGGATAATTCAATTATTTCAGCTTTTAAAAGATTTAAAATATGAACAGATTAGGATTTTAGAGGAAGTATTTCTAATGAACTGAGTTTTTACATTTGCAATTGAAGGTTGAATGTTTGATTTGTTCTGTGCTTGTTTTTTTGTTTTGTATTGTTTGTAGCTTTTCAAAAATTCTTAATTTTCTCAACAGCTGGTAAAATACCAAGAAACAAAATATGTTATATATGCTGCAGAGACAGATGTACTCTTAGAATGCAATGATGGTTCACGCAATTAAAATGACTTACAGTTCACCAAACTAACTTTCCTTGTTTTCTGATACTTATTGTACTAATTCTCTTATGCTAATTCTTTTATCTAGGATCCACATTCCTCATTATTTGAGAAATAATATTTGACTTAACCTGTAGACAGTGAGGTCGAAAAGAGTTGGACATGACTTAGCAACTGAGCATGGACACAGACAATGGTATGAAGACCTTGGCTGTTGCTGGGATTATTCCAGTCTTCCAGGCCAGAAGTTCTTAGTTATCTCTTTACATTTCTAAACTTCCCTCACTTCTCTCTTTTCCCACCCTGGCTCCTTTTATTCAGCCTATGAAGTCTTTAGTGTTGAACTCGTTTCAAGTGTTCCCTGGACCAGTATCCATCCCTCCCTGTGCCCTTGAAAAGTCCAATCTGAAAGAGATTTTTGGTTTTATGTTTGAGCAAGGTGTAAGAAATTCAGTTTTATGATTGAGCAAGGTATAAGAAATATTGATTCAAATCCAATTAAATAGGCTTATTGGTTCTTGAAGGATAGTCCATCACCCCTTTGAGCAGTTAGGACAGAGGACACTATATCAAGAAATGACTTAGTGGGATGTCCTTGGTGGTCCAGTGGTTGACTCTGCTTCCACCGCAGGGAGCATGGTTCTGTCTCTGGTCAGGGAATTAGGATCCTGCATGCCTTAGGTGCAACCAAAAAAAAAAAAAAGAGGACGAAATGGCTAAGTATCTTGCAACTAAAACCTACCTAGAGTTGTAGATAGAGCCCTGAAGACTCTCTTTCACTGTAAATTTGAGTTGAAGGTCAGGACTCTAGGAGAATCAAGACGCTGTCCATATTTTTTATATTTGGAAATGACTCCTATTTTCTGTATCTGACAATGCTTTCCTTTAAAAAAAAGTAACTTATAGTAGAAGATTTCTTTATATTTTCCTAGTAAGACAAAAGTTATTTCTGAGGAGATTCTAAATAAAAGTATACCTAAGGTCAAAATTTTATAAAATATGATGATTTTCTGTTTTACAATTTTGAAATATAAAATATATACCAACATATGTGGGTCATTGGTTAAATGTTGAATTAATAATTGAGAGAAATGTAGATTCTTTGCAGAGGGAGATGGAGGATAGAGGAAAGTATTTTTGGCTGAAGGACTAGGGTGAGGCAAGACCCCAATTTTAAGACATGTTCAAGAGGCAAGGGGTTTCCAGTTTGTCTGGGTCACAGAGTTCCTGCAGGGAAGTGCAGGTGTGGGAGATTCTAGGTGGGGGCCAGATTGAGAGGGCCTTGAACACTTTTCTAATGCATTGAGTCTTTGTTTGATAGGCAGTGTAGAATCATCAAAGGTATAGTAGGAGCTTTTCAGTATATAGTCAGAGAATGCATACATGCATGCAAGTCGCTTCAGTCGTGTCCAACTCTTTGCAACCCCATGAACCATAGTCCACCAGGCTCCTCTGTCCGTGGGATTCTCCGGGCAAGAATACTGGAGTGGGTTGCCATTCTCTGATTCTCCTGTTCCAAGAATCAAAAAATACTGAGATTTAAAAAGAAATTTTGGAGTTTAGCTCATGTCATACCTACATGAGAAAAGTGAAACCTGAGTGGTTAAGTAGTTATGGTGATCTGTTTTTTAATCACATTTAAAAAGTTTTAAACAAAACTATGAACAAAGATCATTGTGAATTATATGTAGTTTCATGAACACTTAGACTTGGAGCCCTGAGATACATTTTAGGCATCAGCAAAAAAACAGATGAAAAGAGGAAAAAGGATGACCAAAATGTGAGAATATAAAAAGGAATCAGAGGGCAAAATCAGACACTAAAACTCTGGCCAACGATGGTGTCCAAAGAGAAAAAAATAAAAAGACATGCAGAGACATCTTTACCAAGTGATGTTCTTCATCTTCACAGTACATATTAGAAATCCCTCCATCTCAGTTGTTTCAAGTGTCTTAGGTACTGGTGTCTCAAGCAGTGGTAATCTCTGCCTTTGGTTCTCATTTATTTTAATACTGTCCATAAAAAGGAGAACTGGGAGAAGAACACAGTCTGTAAATTACCCTGTGATGTTTTTAGGTCTCTGGACCCACATTTAGATTTCCATGCTAGCTACCTTAGCTCTATGATGAAGCCATTGTTTCTTGGTGTCTGCCTGTGTTAGAATCACCTGGGCTGTTTGAAGTGCAGTTGCCCGGCCCCACCCCAGACCGACAAAATCAGTGGTTAGGTTACTCAGAGAGACTCAATTATTCAAAGAATTAAAACAGCAGAGGGCAGGCCGTCCTCTGCCTCCTTTGTTGCCGCTTTTTCCGTAGGCAGGTGTTGATTATTGCTTCAGACCTGGGAACCGAGTGAAGGTAACTGACAGTTGGTATCTTAAGAGACTCTTCGGGAGAGCGATCCTAAGGGCTGGAAGCTCAGAGGACCCGGTGCTAAGGGAACCTAGGGCTGCGCAGCATCCGGTGAGAGTGGCCAGGTGTCCTCATAGGGGTAGAAAGATACAAGCCCAGATTGAGTGGCTCCTGGATACCAGAGGTTACAAACGAACCCTCGTCCACTTGCCTGCCTGAGCGATTAGGAGGAAACCTCTGAGCAAACACCTTGATAGCTCAGTCGGTAAAGAATCCGCCCGCAATGCGGGAGACGTGGATTCGATCCCCGGGTTGGGAAGATCCCTTCTAGAAGGGAAAGGCTACCCACTCCAGTACTCTGGCCTGGAGAATTCCATGTACAGTCCATGGGGTCGCAAAGAGTCGGACACTACTGAGCGGCTTTCACTTTCACTTTCTGAGCTCGCCAAGTCGGGTCAGTTGCCAGGCCAGCCACCAAAATGACAGGTCCTGCAAGTTTCCTAGAGAGGCGCTGAGGAACCAATGGAGATGCGTTTGAGAGTTGTGACGTATTTCCAGTTCCTGCTGTGAGCTGTGGCTTAAATACCCCTTTGGTTGGTTGAGTCCGGACTGTAACTGGGATTATGTGGAAACCTGGTTCATCCTGAGGCTAGATGCTCGATTTGTGGTTTAGTCGCCAAGTCGTGTCCGACTCTTTTTGAGACCCCACGGACTGCAGCCCGCCAGACTCCCCTGTCTGGGATTTCCCAGGCAAGAATACTGGAGTGGGTTGCCATTTACTTCTGCAGAGACCTTGGGGCTGGAGTGGGGGTTTGTCCTCTTTTCTTAGGCCTGGCTTGGGTTCCCCTCCCTTGCCTTACAAAGATTTCTCAGGAACCGACATTTCCATGTCTGCGGTTCTGTACGTTTCGGAGATGCAGAGAACTAAACACAAACTTGGTACAGGGCGGGGCCTGTGCAGACTATCTGGTTTTCGAAGGAGATACAGGTTTACTAGCGGGGAAACTCCTCCAGTGTCCATCGGTTGACGGACCCTTAAAGCTAAAAGATGGTTTCTTATACCTTTCGTGAACTTAACTGAGCAGTTTCCCAGTTTTCATGAAAATCTCTTATAGTAATGGCCATGATTACATATCTGTAGAGGTTTAGTTCTTAAAAAAAAAAAAAGCTATAACGTGATCCTCACAGTTTTGCAAAGCAAAGGTAAGTGCTTGTGCATTTCTGTGGCTAAGAAAACAGCTTCAAAAGTGTGGCAGGGGAAGTAGAGGAGGGTGGCAGCTCATTACTGTCAGGTAGATGCAGAAGTCCAAGTTTCTACTTGATTGCCATTTAGTTTCTCCTTACTGTTAGGTAGGGGTAGAAATTCTGACTTCCACGTGGTCACGACAGACACTGTGAGCGCTGATGAGTGATTGCTGAATGGTGGTAAAAATCCAGACTCCACTGGCCCTTTTCTGACGTTGCCTTCGTGTCACCGTTCCCTACTTACCCTACCACAGTAGTTTCAGGGTAAACCAGCTAAAACCTAAGGTTTAATTAAGATCCAGTCTCATAACACAATACAAAATAGCAATAAAAAATCCGAAATACCAAGAACCAGGAAGATCGCAAAAGGAATGAAAAGAGATGCCAACACCAAGCTAATAAAGGTTTTAGAATTAACAGAAATTTATAGCAATCATGATTTTTTTTTTTAATGCTTCAATGAGGGACTTTCCTGGTGGTCCAGTGGCTAAGACTGCTCTCCTGATGCAGGGGGCTCCAATTCAATATCTGGTAGGGGAATTAGATCTCACATATTGCAACTAAAGATCTGTATGCTGCAAGATCAAAGATCTGGCGTACTGCAACTAAGACTTGGTGCAGCCAAATAAACGTTTTTAAATAAGCTTCAATGGGAAATTGTGAACACATATAAAAGAAGTGAAAATATAGAAACCCTCAGCAAGGAAATAGAAAGTCCTCGCAAGTAAATAGAAGATGTAAAAAAATTAAGTGGAAATTTGAGAACTGAAAAATACAATTATAATAGTAAAAACTCTGTGGGTAGTCTAAACAACAGGATGTAGGCTAGAGAAAATCTGAACTAGAAGACTGAACAACAGGAATAAACCAATTTCTAACAAGAAAGAAAGTAAGCTGGAGAGGGGGAAAAGGAGGAACAGAGGGTAGTAGGCTGAAAAAATAGTCACCCAAAGATACGTTCACTTCCTAATCACCAGAACCTATAAATATTATGCAGCAGAACAGTGGTTATTTTATATGGCAAAATAAGTGATTAAGGATCTTGAGAAAAGGAGATCATCCTGAATTATCCAGAAGGGGTCCAGAATGCCATAGTAAATATTTTTATGAGAGAGAGGCAGAGGGAAATCAGACACACAGAAAAAGATGATGTAAAGATGGAAGTAGAGATTGGAGTGATGTGACCTCAAGCCCCAGGGACATCAAGGGATGACCAAGAGTGGAAGAAACAAGAAATGGGGTCTCTACCTCAGAGTCTCTGCACAGAGCCTTGAGTTTAGACTTCTGGCCCAGGGATCAAACCCAGGCCCCTTACATTGGGATTGAACTCAAGCCCCAGGGACACCAAGGGATGACCAAGAGTGGAAGAAATAAGAAATGGGGTCTCTACCTCAGAGTCTCTGCACAGAGCCTTGAGTTTAGACTTCTGGCCCAGGGATCAAACCCAGGCCCCTTACATTGGGAGCTCGGTGTCTTAGCCACTGGACCACCAAGGAAGTCCTCAGTTACTTTCATTTTAGGAAATATTTTAGGAACCCTTTATATATTTGAGATATTAGTCCTTTGTGATATGTTGCAAACATTTTTCCAGTGTGTCCTTTTTCTTCTGACTTTTCTTTGTGGTATTTTTTGATAACCAACCCATTTTATTTTTAGGCAGATTTACTGATTTTTTTTTTTTTTTTTTTTGCTGCTTTTGGAAATTGAGGCAAGGTTTCCTGTTCCCAGATGTTAGAATTATTACTCATGTTCTTCTAATACATGTATAGGTATATTTTTTACATTTGTTTTTTTGATCCATTTGGAATTTATCTTGATTGTGATATGTGATGGGCAATATTAATGCAATTTTACTTTTGACCAAATGGCTATCAGTTGTCCTAATACAACTTATCTCCAAGCCCTTCATTCCCCCATTGATTCGAGATGCCAACATCATTTACTAAATATCCATATGTACCTTGGTCTAGTGCGTGGGGCGTGCATACTCAGTCGTGTCCGACTCTTTGTGACCCAGTGGACTGTAACCCGCCAGACTCCTCTATCCATGAGATTCTCCAGGCAAGAATCCTGGGGTGTGGTCTATTTTTGTCTGTTCTTACACAGTATCACACTCAATTGTAGGGACTTTATAACTTGTGGTGATATCTGATTAGTATGTCCCTCACTATTGTTCTTCAGAGGGTATCATGGCTATTCTTATTTTCCCATATGAACTTTATAACCATTTTGTCTAACTCTAGAACAGTATTTGTTGATTCTTTTATTTTAGAAGATTGACTTCTTCATTGAGTCTTTTGAACCAAGACTCTCCGCAGTCTTTTTAGCATGTGGCTTTCTATTTGTCTAACTATACATTTGGCCTTTCAGGAGGTTTTCCCCATACAGGTTTTGCAATTTTTTCCTACAGTTAGTCCCACTTATTTTCTTTCTTCCTCTTGTTGTTGCTGCTGCTGTTGTTACTATTATAAATTAGGTATTCTCTTCCATTATATGTTGTACCTTTATCACTGGTTATTTGCACATAGGAAAGTACTGCTTTCAGTGTGTTAATTTTATATTTTTGCTAGTTTACTAAATTATCTTTTGGTTTTCCCATTGAACTCTATGGGTTTTCAGATGTATACTCATTATCATTTGCGCATAAAAGGGAACTGTAGAAAGTGAAAAAGTAAGCAGAAACTGCCAGGTTGACCCTTGAGAAGTGTGTAGAAGAGGTCCCCTCCTGAGTCTGGAAGGACCTCGGGAGAAATCCCTTTGAGACATCTTTAATATCAAAGGTGCTGAAACCCAAATAAACGTGAGAGTGAAAAAGCATAGGATTTACCTAGCTCAGATAGGCTCTCCATGCCTCGACCAGCCATCACTTTGGAGGAAAGGGGATACTAGCAGATTAGCAGAAGGCGAAAATATCGTGAAACCGCGGGCCTGGGACTCCGTAGTCATCTCTCGAGAGTGCACGGGAGAACTACCGAGTAGTGAGCTCACTCTTCCTAGAGTGGCGGCGGAAGTGACCAGATGCTCCGTACTCGGCCGCTTCCGGCCTTTGTGGGTCGCTCTTGTTGGGTTCCGGTTCTGAAACCGTTCGAGACCTCACCCCCTTGAATCCAGGAGAGACACTTCTGCTGGCCTCCTGGGGCTGTGGTTGAGCGAGCTTTTGCTGCGGACGCGGCGGGTGGGTTGCTGGCCGTCATCGGGCCAGGCTGGAGCGGGGTGTCCTCTGGTGCTCACTTGCCCAGGTGGGTCCGCGAGAAGCTATTTGAGGCAGAAGCTAGCCCCTAGCCCTTTGAGAAGGGGTCACAGCCCGGGATGAGGGAGAGACCCGGCTATGCGCCTCATACCTCCCGGGCTTGCCTCGCGCTGTGTACCCTTCTTGATTCTGCGCCGTCTGACATTTCCGAACACTCGTCGGTCACAGGTGCTGACCCACGTCCTAGGGCCTCTTTTACAAGCATCCCTTTATATTTAGAATTACAGTTACTTGGGTAGAAGAGGGCCTGAAAAACCAATGTCTCCAGCTTTTTCGCTTGATAAAGAATCAGGAGCAGAGAGATTAAGTCCCTGCGGAAATAAATTCATGTAACTGCAGCTTTTATGACTTAATGATTTCCCATTATGCATCATCTGAGTTTTTAAAGAATTTAAAAAGCAACTACTCAAGGATGTCTCAGCTTTTTGTTATAATATTTTTTGCTCTAAATGTCTGTTTATTTCATTTAATTCTCCTTTTTTTCTATTAACTAAGTGGAAATATTTCCTTCTTAATCTTACTTTTCTTGTCCTGAAAATTCTGAAACAACTTAGCACCTTTTACTTATTCTTTTTTTTTAGTCTATTGAATCTTTTTTATCAGAGCACTTCTCTGAGTACAGTAGATTACCCTGGAGGCAGCTTTCAAAGTGCAAATTTGAATTCTTAGAATTTGCAATTTTTGTTTATGGTGTAGTTTGGGTTAATGATGATAGCTTCTCCCTCAGTTCCAGCCAGAAAGAAAAGACACAGGAGATCTTGCCTGGAGCATTGATAAGCTTTTGCATAGCAATGATGGCATGTACTTGGTCTATCCAGGCCAACATGGACCAGGATGAACTTTTGGAAGTAAAGATAGAGGAAGAGGAGCTGGAGGAGGAGCATAAACACGCCACTAGGCAGGATCAGAACCTGCAAAAGAACAATACCCACAGCAGGGAGGTCTTCCGACAGTACTTCAGGCAGTTCTGCTACCAGGAGACATCTGGGCCCCGAGAGGCTTTGAGCCGACTCCGGGAACTTTGCCATCAGTGGCTGAAGCCAGAGACCCACACCAAAGAGCAGATTCTGGAACTGCTGGTGCTGGAGCAATTCCTGACCATCTTGCCTGAGGAGCTCCAAGCCTGGGTCCAGGAACAGCATCCAGAGAGTGGGGAAGAGGTGGTGACTGTGCTGGAGGATTTAGAGAGAGAGTTGGATGAGCCAGGATATCAGGTGAGAACATAGATGTGGTGTCTGAGAAGTGAATTATGGATTTCTAGGCCAGAATGAAGTCTAATAGTATTTCACAAAATGTATCCTTGACAAAACTGGTGCATCAGAAAGGGGCCTGAGTGTCACAGAATGTTGGTTAATGTAATCCTAACTATTTATGTCTTTTTTTTGTGGAAGGATTGTGTATTTCTGTATTAAGCTACAAAATTCTGTTTGGTGAAATGCTGCCCATAAACAGACTTCTAGTACAGAGAGATCATTAAAGGGTGGGCAGCAGCCTTTTGAAAGGGACATCACTTCTGCACAACACAAGTAATTAAGAAGTAAGGTTTTGCAGATATATCCTCTGCCTTGTCTCCATTAAAGGATTAAAAGACTGAGAAATCAAAGTCACCATCTCAGTGGAATGAGATGTAGGAGCAGAGTGGAAAGTTAGGAGGGAGGGGCATGGAGGGAACCCATGTTTCTTTGAGTGGTTGAAAGCCCAGTTGAGTTGAAAAGGTGAGATGTCAGTAGAAGAGTTGAAAACAGAGACTAGAGGACCTTGAATATCAAACTCTGGAGTTTAGATTTCATTCTGTAGGACAGAAGCTCCTAAACTGTTCTAAGTGAGTTTTACTAACACCAAGATACAAAAAAAAAAAAAAAAGGCAAATTATGTTGGACCGTTTTGTTTTGTTTTAACATTGATAAAGACAGTGGTTTTCAACCAGCACCTCAAAGGGCATTTGGCAATGTTGTGGGACATTTTTCAGTACCTCAAAGGGTGTTTGGCAGTGTCATGGGACATTTTTGGTTGTCCTAACGTTAGGAGGTACTACTGGCATCTAGTGACTGAAGGATACTGCTAGATAATCACAGTGGTAATGAAAAGGAAGTATAATTCAGTATCGAAGTACGAAGTCTGAAGAGGGAAGGACCATGTGGCAAAAAGGTCTCAGTTGAAAATAGGATCATGAAAGTGTGACTGCAAAGGAAGAGGCATATCTTAGGTAAGAATTAATTGAAAATGATACAGATGGAGGTATAAAGAAGGAAGAAAGAATGGAGAACTCCACTCAGCAGTCTATTCTAGGCTAAGCACTAGGGATTTTCAAGCTTGAAAGACTAGTATAACGGAAACACTCCTAACCGAGTTCAAGATCGTAGGGGAAGGTGAATTGGGAAAAGTTCATCATTCAGCAGATATTTATTGGCCATCTGTTGTTTACTAGGCACTGGGAATGCACCAATGAAAAAGTATAGAGGGTTGCTGCTCTTCTATCTTGGCCACACCTTGTGGCATACAGGTCTTAGTTCCCTAACCAGGGGGTTCCCTAACCAGGGGTTATCTTGGCCACACCATGTGGCGTGCAGGTCTTAGTTCCCTAACCAGGGGTTAAGCCTGTGCTCCATGCATTGAGAGCACAGAGTCTTAGCCATTGGACCACCAGGGATGCCCCAATCTGACTTTGAATTCCAATTTAAAGTTTTTAATTTTAACATAATCACTCTAGCTTCTATGTTTGGAAAGTTCTGCATTGGGCCTGGGGGTGGGGAAGGAGAACATAGGGAACAAAGTTAGAAGCAGGGAAACCAGTTGAGGAGGCTATGGCTATAAGCAGTAATCCAGGCAAGAGATGCTGGTGCCTGACTAGGATAATAACATTGAAAGTGGCAAAATGTAATTGGATTCTGGATACATTTTGACGGTAGAGCTTGAGAGGATTTGTGTTTATATAGGTTGCAGGATATGAGAGAAAGTGAGTTAAAGATTATGCCAGGGTTTTTGGTTTGTACATCAGGTAAAATGAATTCGTCGTTCACTGAGATGGTAAAGATTGGGAGAGACATAGGTTTGGAGTAGAGGGACAGGAATCAAGAGCTAGGTTTTGGATGTGTTAATTTTGAGATTCTCATTAGAATCCAAGTGGAAAGTTTGAGCAAGCAACTAGATATAAAGAGTTGAGATTCAGTGGGGGTGGGGGGTGGAAATCTGTTCTAGAAATACAAAATTGGGACTTGCCAGAATATGAATGGTATTTAAAGCCATGAGACAAAAAGAGCATCAGGGGAGTATCCAGACTGGTAACTGGGGACTGGCCAGGGAGGTAGGAAGAGAACCAAAAGAATGGGATTCTTAGGTGCAGGCAGAAGTGAACTTGGTTTTAGTCATGATGAATTTGTACTGCTAACCAGTCCTTTCTTTGAGGCTTGCTGTGGGTAGCTAGTGGTTTTTGAGGCCTAGTCTAGGTAGAGTCTTTACAGTCTGAGCCACTAGGCAAGCTATCGAAGAGGGATGAGGAAGTAATTTGGGGGCCTGTCATACGCCATTGCCTATGTGAGGTGCTTTACATGCATGGTGTCATGTAATCTCAGAATAATTCCTAGTCCAAGGTGACAGAGCTATCGATACTAAACTAAGAAACAGAGTAAGTAATTAGATTCCAATTCCTGTTTTTATACTACCATGCTGGGGAAACCTTTTCTTCTTTTATTTTTTTTTTAAGTGCAAGAGGTAGTGGGCCCATGGAGGAATGGAAGCTACAGAGTGGTTCAAATTGCTGAGTAAATGAGTTAATTGAAGGAGCAGGGGTCAAAGGGAAGCAGAAAGGGATGAGATTGAAGGCAAAAGTAGAGATACAAGCCTTGAAAAAGAAAAGACGTCTTCCTCTAAGAAGGAAAGGAGAAGAGTAAGAGAGTGGAGATAGGTAAAGTGAAGGAGAGAGGATTTTTTTGAGATGGTCGTGATCTTGGAGAAATAGAAAACAAGATCATCTTCCCAGAAAGAAGGGGGATGGGAACCTCGGAAGCGCATTGTCTATTAGGAATATGAGAGATTTCACTCCTTTTTCCTTCCCTCTTTCCTTCTCATACCCTCTTTCCTTTCTCTTTCTTCTTTGTTCCCTTCTGTCTTTCTTTGTAATTTCTCTCATTATTTCCCTTTACTTTTCCCCCTTCCTTTCCTTCTTTCTCACTTCTGTCTTATTTCCCCATAAATTCTTTTCCACTCCTTTCTGCCTCTGCCTCTTTTTACCTTCTTTTCCTTCTCTTTGCCACTTCTCTATTTCTTTGAGCATAGACAAAAATGTAAAAGTGGTACATTTAATATACTTTAACAGTTAATATAGGGGAAATTACTTCCAACTGGCGAAGGGAAGGTTTCCCAGAAGAGGTGACATTTGTATTGGCCTTGAGTAGGATTATGGCAGGCTGTTATATGGAAAGAAGTTTATTTCAAGTTTCAGAGAGCTGGGTGCCACTGCCCTGGATAGTATGTTCTTGTTTAATGTTACCAGAGTGAGGTTCTAAGCTACATCTCATTTACCTCAGGTCTCAGTCCACACTGAGGAACAGGAAATGTTCTTACAGGAGATCATACCCCTAAAAACAGAACAAGAACCCAGAATGTGCTTTCTGTCTGTGCAAGCCCAGCCAAAGTGTGAATCTGCAGAACTTGAAGCCCAACAGAAGCAAGGTAAGGAAGGAAGACCCATCTTGGGAGGAAGGGGAAGACAGGGGCCAACATAGGACCCTGGGACTCTTTTATACTTTATGCTGTTTGTGAGCACTGAAGTCGGGAAGGTCTCTCAAGAGCGCTGATGGCTCATGCATAGACCTGAGGCAGCCTGGTTTATCACTCTGCAACTTCTTTTCTCTTTATGTTAATATTTTCTAAATCCTGGCTGTATTTTATTTGAAATCACTTGGTTTAGTCCTTCTGATAGTTATTTTCCTCTGCTGACTTCCCTCCTATGTATAGCCTTTATCCTACCAGACAGTACCACTATCTTTATTCTGTGTCCTTCAGTAAATAAACCTTTGCCCCATAATCTCTGCAGCTAACTTTCAGATGGTTCAGGGAAAAATACATATATGTGCGTATACATACACACATATATATGTTATATATATGCCTATATATTACTCTTCTAGAGAGAAGGAGTAATAAAGCAGATGTGGCAAAATGTTCAAAGTGGGTGAAGGGGTGAAAGAATGTACTTTCCTTATTTCTGCTTTCTCTGTTTTGTCACTTACTTTTTAAAAACAGGTGAAAACTCACATGGTTGAAAAAAGTAATAACCTAAAGTTACCCAGTGAAAAGTTTTCCTGCCATTCTATTACCCTAGCCATTTGGTCTCCTCACCTCTGTTTTGAAATAGGTTGTCACTCTTACTAGTTTCTTGTGTGTCCTTCTAGAGATTTTTAACCATATATGTGTATTTCTCATATTCAAATATATTTTCCTTTCTTTATCACTAAGATTATAGAGCCTTGTATTTTTTATTTCTTAACAGTTGCTTAATATTAAAATATATGACTATATCAGGCTCCCCAGGTGGCTCAGTGATAAAGAATCCACCTGCCAATGCAGGAGACAAGGGTTCAATCCCTGGGACAGGAAGATCCCTTGGAGAAGGAAATGGCAACCCACTCTAGTATTCTTGCCTGGGAGATCCCACGGGCAGAGAAGCCTGGTGAGCTACAGTCCATGGGGTCACAAAAGAGTTGGACACGACTTAGTGACTAAACAACAACAACAATATGGCTATATCATGCAATTAACTTATCTCCTGCTAATAACATTTAAGCTGACCCCACTCTTTTACTATAACAAATAGTGCTGTGATAAATAACCATATGTGTGAATATATTTGTAGCATAAAGTCCTTCTAGGTGGAATTACTAGGTCAAAATATTTGTAATTTTGATATATATTGTCAAATTGCCCTCTAATAAAGCTTGGATCAATTTACACTCTTACTGGCAATGTTTGATATTCATGTCATGAGCACAGTGTTACATCAAGCTTTTGGCAAATCCAGTAGGTGAAAATTATACTCAATATTGTTTGAATCTGCTTTTCCCTTATTGTCAGGGGGAGTGTCTCTTTTCTTGTGTTTAAGAGCTGTTGTATTTCCTTTCTTGGAAGCCATCAGTTTTTTTCTTTGCCCAGTTTTCTATTTGATTACTGTTCTTTTTCTTAACAGTTTTTGGAGTGCTTGTGTTTATTAGTTTTATTATGTGTTTATTCTATATTCTAGTGCCATTTTATAGTCATGCAGGATCTCTAAGTTCTTGTGTAATTTTTCATTTGAATAATTTTATGTTGCCTAATGAAAGTTGCTTTTTGCAACCACAGGAAACTAATGAGTATGATCCATTTTTAATTTCAGATATTGAGACTGGAAATGAGTATAGGAATTTAACTCTAAAGCAAGAAGTTTCTCAAGAAATGAAACCATATGGGAATATAGCTAGCAAATTTGAAAATGAAATGTCTCAACCAGCTAGGTATGAAAAAACATATGAACCTGAAGAAAAAACAGGAGAGTCTTCTGAATATTCAAGGGAAGATAAAGAACCTACATGTGATGAAAATGGAATAAGTTTAACTGAGAACTTAGATCTTTCTGAACACCAGGGAATTTGTCCAGGAGAAAAGCCTTATGTATGTGATGTCTGTGGAAGAGCTTTTAGTCAACACTCATGTTTCGTAGAACATCAGAGGATCCATACTGGAGACAGGCCCTACAAATGCAAAGAATGTGGAAAAACTTTCCGTGGGAGAACTGTGCTTATTCGACACAAAATAATACACACAGGAGAGAAACCATATAAATGTAATGAGTGTGGCAAAGCCTTTGGCCAGTGGTCAGCTCTTAATCAACATCAGAGACTTCACACAGGAGAGAAACAGTACCACTGTAATGAATGTGGCAAAGCCTTTAGCCAGAAAGCAGGTCTCTTTCACCATCTCAAAATCCACACAAGAGACAAACCTTATCATTGTACTCAGTGTAATAAAAGTTTTAGTCGGCGCTCAATTCTTACCCAACATCAAGGAGTTCATACTGGGGCAAAGCCCTATGAGTGCAGCGAGTGTGGAAAAGCCTTTGTTTATAACTCCTCCCTTATTTCCCATCAGGAGATCCACCACAAAGAAAAGTGCTATCAGTGTAAGGAATGTGGGAAGTCCTTCAGTCAGAGCGGCCTTATTCAGCATCAGAGAATCCATAATGGAGAGAAACCCTACAAATGTGATGTATGTGGAAAAGCCTTTATTCAGAGGACAAGTCTTATAGAACATCAACGAATTCACACTGGAGAGAGACCCTATAAATGTGAGAAGTGTGGGAAGGCTTTCACTCAAAGATCAGTCCTCAAGGAACATCAGAGACTGCACACCGGAGAGAGGCCCTATAAATGCGATGGGTGTGGGAATGCCTTCCATGGAATCATCAGCCTCATTCAGCATCAGAGAATCCACACTGGGGAGAAACCCTGCCAATGTGATGAATGTGGCAAAGCCTTCAGACAGAGGTCAGATCTTAATAAACACCAGAGAATCCATAACAGAGGTGATCCCTATACATGTGAAGTGCATGGGGAGTCATTTACACAGAACCCAGCTCTTATTCAACATCAGACTACCCACAAAGCAGAAAAATCTGGTTCTGTGTGATGACTGCAGGGAAACTATCCCACAGAATTCAGGCTAGGGAGAAATAGTAGCTATGAGGACAAAATGTTAGTTACTATAGCTATAAGGAAACCTTGGATATTTCATAAAAAATTCATTGTGTGCTCCTTTTCTCAAAAGAGTTTACAACCTAGTTTCGAAGATAGTAGGTCCACCTGTTTAGTTAAGGCCATAGGACAGTAGAATTGATGCTCAAAATATTATAGAATTAAAGTGGCACTTGGGAAGAAGTAAGTGCTATAAATTCTGAAGGAGAGATCACTGTTGCCTGAAGTGGTCAGGAAAGATTTTAAAGATAAAGGTTTGATGGAGATATTTGGAAGGCAAAAGGGAGAAAATAGAGTAGAAGAAATTAATCAGAGTGCATGTGGTTTGCAAGCATCAGTGACAAAACAAGCCAACCTAAAAAGAGTTCATTCAGTTGGGCAGCTGATGGTATTGTGTTGGAAACACAACTTGAGGACAGACACTGGGAGGTCAGAATGCCAGTAATTTCACTGAATACTTTGACACTTAAACAAAGAATTTTTCTCATTTAATTTCTAAAATGTTCCTATAAAATGATTCTCCATTGTAAAAATGAGGATACTCTTGCTTATGGAGATGATGACACAGCTACAGTATTACACAAAGGAAGAGACCAGAGGCTTAAGTGCAGGTCATTACAGTTCATTAAGTACTGTTCATTACAGGAGTGGTTCCTCAAGAATCACCTGTGGTGCTTGTTGAACATACCCGCACTCGCAGATACTATGCTTCATTAGGTCTGAGATGGGGATTGAGAATCTTCATTTCTGTAGCTCCACAGTCACTTGATGTGCTATACGATTCGAGAAACATTGCATTGAATCACAGTTGTCGGTGAAGTGAGGAAGCATGAATACAGGCCCCTGCAGATTTTTCGCATGAGGAAAGCTCTTCAGGGGACATGAGCCAGCAGCTCTCTACAATGACCAGGGAATTAGACTACTGTCGTGCCTAAAAATGAGGGCTCACGATGGCCATTCTAGCCCTTCAAATCTGAATGTTTTAAAACAGACCCACCTACATTCCGAGGCTCCCAGGGATCTTCTGAGTGCATGGGGGTGTGTGTGTCTGTGTGTGTGTGTGTGTGCGCGCGCGCGCGTGCATGTTAGGGGAGGGCTGCTGGTGTTCTCTGTTTCATACTTCTCTTTTTTCCCACCTCTGTGTTCTGAATTCTTTTACAATTTTTTGGCTTGTATACCTTCTTGAGCATATAAAAAAGACAAGGATTAGTGATTCCTTCGGGCTTCAGGAAAAAAAAAAAAAAAAACCGAAAACTGACGTTTCCCCTATATTACTGAGTAAATTCTGTTTTTGATGAGAACTTATGATTACTGTAGTAGGTAGCAGGCAAATCACAGAAGTACATATAGCTCTTGGTCTGTTTATCTGTTTACAGAAATCATATTTGATCTCTGCTGAGATGTTGATTTATTTCTTTTCCTTTCTGCCTTGCCACAGCAAACTCCACAGTTCCTAGGACTACATTCCCACCCCTTCCCACCCAACTTCAGTCCCCTCATCTCCCCTCACGTCTAGCTGGTCAGTGGGTTTGAAGTGGTGAGATACTGATAGAAGAGGTAGAGGAGAAAAAAGAAGGGTAATTCACCACTCTTTAACTAGTCCTAACAACTTTCTCTTTTTTCCCACCTCTGTGTTCTGAATTCTTTTACAATTTTTTGGCTTGTATACCTTCTTGAGCATATAAAAAAGACAAGGATTAGTGATTCTTTCCTTCGGGCTTCAGGAAAAAAAAAAACCCGAAAACTGACGTTTCCCCTATATTACTGAGTATATTCTGTTTTTGATGAGAACTTATGATGATTACTGTAGTAGGTAGCAGGCAAGTCACAGAAGTACATATATCTCCTGGTCTGTTTATCTGTTTACAGAAATCATATTTGAACTCTGCTGAGATGTTGATTTATTTCTTTTCCTTTCTGCCTTGCCACAGCAAACTCCACAGTTCCTAGGACTACATTCCCACCCAACTTCAGTCCCCTCATCTCCCCTCACGTCTAGCTGGTCAGTGGGTTTGAAGTGATGAGATACTGATAGAAGAGGTAGAGGAGAAAAAAGAAGGGTAATTCACCACTCTTTAACTAGTCCTAACAACTTTTCTGCCCAGCCCTGTCTTTATCCCACTTCCCCTTTCTGTAAAAGACTCTACCCCCATTTCCCTAGTGTCTCTATCTCCTGTCCCTCTGTCCATAATCCCAGTATAAGACATGATATCATCATTGGCTTTGAGCCTGGAGAGTCCCCAGTCCTGTAGAAATATATATGTTCCTAACTTTCTAAATTGTAATTGTGAACACATTTTCTCTTAAAAATGATAATAGTACTATAACTTAGGCATATAGTTAGGCATGAAGTGTCATACTGGTTCTGGGGATTAGTATTTACAATGTGGGAAAACTTTCTGGGTTCACAACATAGGAAAGCAAATTAACATTTGGAAAACAATTCATTCTCAAGTGGACTGTTTATTTGATAATAAGACCAACATTGGAATTGTGCACATAGGCACTGAGGCAGCTAGGATTGAAAACCTAATTTTTTATGTCTGGAAAACAAACAGATTCTAGAACTAAGCCTGAGGGCTCTAGCTATAAGTATTGATGCATGCTAAATTGCTTCAGTTGTGTCCAGCTCTTTGCAATGCTATAGACTAGTCTGCTCCCCTGGGATTTTCCAGGCAAGAATACTGGAGTGGGCTGCCATGCCCTCCTCCAGGGGATCTTCCTGACCCAGGAATCAAACCCACATCTCATATATCTCCTGCGTTGGCAGGTGGATTCTTTACCACTAGCACCACCATAAGTATTGATATATGAGGCCTATCCCCTAAGGTTACTCAGTCTCAAGTTTCTCTCATGTAAACTCGGCCATCTGGAGGGGGCTTGACTTAGTAACAAGAACCTTCATGAGAACATCTCTACCAAACTGATGCTTGCCCATACTTGTCATGTAATCAGATTTCACAAACATGTTCTCCAAACTGAAGTTACTCTTCATAGTAATGTCAGAGCCTCTCTAATCTGATTGCTCAGTAGAATGCAATTGTTATTTTAAACTTGCTCTCTATTCTCCAGTGCTGTTAATAGCAGTCTCTCCAGTTAATCTGCTTAACATGCTCTCTCAATGCATACAAGTTCCTCCATTTCCCTCTCAAGAGAACTATAAAAGAACCATAAACAAAGACCCAGAACAATGGACTATGCCTATCATATAGAAGAATAGAGTTCATAACATTTAAAAGTAAATGTGGGAGGTTTGTTCTGGTTGTTTTTTATGCTTAAATACAGTTGTACCAAAAAAAAAAAGGGGGGGTGCAGTGGCATGGGATTTCCAGGTAGGCATCAAAGGGGTCAAACTAGTCCACAATAAGAAGGTAAAAGGTTACTAATGGAACTAAATCAGCAACAGAGAAAACAAGGCTATGAGAGGGCAAGTGGAGGACATGTTGGATAAGGAATTGGAGAGTGCAATAACAGAGAATACCTTGTGACGAAGTCGAGTACATTTTTATGTATAATAGATGGCATGATAATGACAGGATCTAGGAAATCAGTTCATTTATGTGGATTTTTAAATCAACAAAACAGGAAGTGATATGAAAGTAAAGCCAGTCCACAAGAAAAGTATTGACAGTAATACAAAGCCAAATAGAGCAGCTGGTGTAAATCTCAAATGAATCATGAAGCAGCAGCTTAGAAATAACATTAAGGATGAGAGTAAGATTGATTAGCTTCTCCTTTCTATTTGATTGAAGATGCCAAGACAGCCTGTTGTTTCATGTCCAGTTCTAACTGTTAACTTCCTGACCTGCATACAGATTTCTCGAGACAGGTCAGGTGGTCTGGTACTCCCATCTCTTTCAGAATTTTCCACAGTTTTTTGTGATCCACACAGTCAAAGGCTTTGGCATAGTCAATAAAGCAGAAATAGATGTTTTTCTGCAACTCTTGCTTTTTCGATGATCCAGCGGATGTTGACAATTTGATATCTGGTTCCTCTGCCTTTTCTAAATCCAGCTTGAACATNAGGACTGATGCTGAAGCTGAAACTCCAATACTTTGGCCACCTGATGCGAAGAACTGCCTCATTTGAAAAGACCCTGATGCTGGGAAAGATTGAAGTGGGGAGGAAGAGGGGATGACAGAGGATGAGATGGTTGGATGGCATCACTGACTCAATGAACATGAGTTTGAGTAAGCTCTGGGAGTTGGTGATGGACAGGGAGGCCTGGTGTGATGCAGTCCATGGGGTTGCCAAGAGTCAGACATGACTGAGCGACTGAACTGAACAGAACCCAAGATGTTTACTAAGGCAAAAGCACCTAGAGAGGTTGGGGGAGAATCAAATTTCTAAAGCAATGAAAAGTAAACTGAGCTTTAAACATGGGTGTCAGATGAAAAAGTATCCTGACAATCACAAAAATGATTCCAAAGAGTGTAATAGAAAGGAACTGAAAGGAAGGAAGATGGGCCCCCTCTGATAAAAAAGAAAAAATGTGGGGGGCGGGGTTGACCAGGGCTCTAGGATTGAGAAATTTCCTGGGGCATGGTGGGTGAGGATGGAGGTGGAGAGTGATCAGGTGGAAGCACTTAGAAAAGCTGTGCACTCCTGCCCTCACAACAGAGGTAGCCTCTTCTGTTAATATCCAGTGATTGGCCATTAGAGTTGTTAGAACAAAATCATTATTGGCAATCTTTAGGAGTAGATGAAGGGATTCATTAACAGTATTATGTGCTATTTACTAACTGCTTACTTGGGGCCAGACATTACTAAATGCTTTGCTCACACTGTTTCATTTTTACCTGGGGAAATGGAAATCAGTAAAGTTACTTGAGGTCACAGAGTTAGTATGTGGGGGGCCAGGATATGAACTCAGCAGATCCAGAGCCCACTCTATTTCAGAAGAACAAACTGCATGTTGCAGTGGTATT